AAACAATTCATCATTGCTAGTACAGTTGTTGGTACTACTTTTGAGACATTATTGATCTCTTTGCCTCAAACTGCTTTATTTCCTCTCACTTTGATGAATATTAAAGCACAGAAAGTGATTTCATGTAGTCAAGAATCAGGACATAGTAGAAAAGAAGATCTTTTTGAGTATATTCATATGGGCAAAATGACTGACTTTTCAAATTTAAATTGTCTGTGCTTTTGAGGGTTAAGGTATGATTTGTGCAAAATTTACTTGAGACTTCAAATGAATAGGAAGACACCTTATAGTTTAATAGTGCAAATAAAAGACAAAATTTGAATTTTGAGATCAGACATCTATACATGTAGCTGGGTGAAGTGCTAGGGAAATATGAAAATGCTTTCAATTTGGCTCAACTTTTTAATCTCCTAGCGTGAGTTAAGTAGTTGTAGGACAGCTTATAACTCCTACTCAGAGCTTCAAGGGACAGCTCAGCTGTCATGTCCAGTTGCCTCTATGTTTCCTGTGTGCAGTGCTGGCAGGTAGCAGATCAGAGTTCTACTAATCCTGCACTATCCCAGTTAAAGTACCTGTGGAGCTCCGCTGTGACATAATGGCTCCAATAATCAAATGTCTTCTTTAAAAATACATGCCTCAAAATTCTTTTCTACTGACATCATGTTCTTTTATAACTTCACATCAGATCTCAATATTTGTTATCCAAAGGTGTGACAACATTCTTTAAAATACGTGATAAAAAGCAACAGAGGAGAAACAATAATTTTAATATTATTTCTTTAATACTAGATAATTTATTTCTGGTAGACAATTTCCTGTACTATCCTACAGCTTTCAGCATTTTTAGATTTGATGCAGAAGAAGACCAGTTTTGTGTTGCTTCGGACTAGTGGTGCTCTACCTGATGGTTAAAACAATACATCCTCAGGAGGCTGTCTATACATGGTTTAGAAGGACCTGACACTTTCCAATAGAAGCACAATGAGAGTAATAAAACCAACTAAAGTTATGTGTTACTAGCATTATTTTGATTTTTGTTAGTGTTGTTCCTCTATAGGAAAAGTTGGGGTGTCTTTTTTTGGTTACATCATACCACAGGGTGTAGGAGTTGCTCAGGTTGTTTTTCTTGGTCTTCCCATATTTTCCTTATATGTGTCTAAGTAACTTAATCTGTCTCTGTCTCTTCATTTGGTTTCTAATGTGCCAACTTGAGATGATAGAAATTCATGATGTCATCAAGTTCTTGTGAGGTAGACTCCATTACTGTGGTGAGATTTTATGATATGGTGATAGGTGCTATAGAAATGCCTTGATTTTTTATGTCTCTGATGCACATGAAGCATTTTTCTATCCAGCATCACACAATTTAGTGACAATGTTCTTCTATCCCTTCTACTATAATAAGTATGATAAAGCTGTCTGGAAGTAGACATCATCTCTCTGATGGCACATTTGTAGTGGATCTCCTACTCTGTACTAGTGGTTAAAGGATACCTGCCAAGAGTTGAAATGTGGGCAGGCATTGCTCTGTGAGCACTGTTTCTCTCCCTTGCCTTCAGACATGCCCCTTCTTGAGGCTCTCCTCTGAACAGCAATGCAGCTTAATTTTTTTATGCAGTCAATAGAGATTCCAGTGTTTTCTGGCAATTATTCTCTGTTTTCACATTGTAATTATCAAGGTGATAAAGAGTTTTAAAACCTCCAGTAAATGCAGCAAAATATTTATTTTTGCAAGAAAACCTCGTTTTTCTCTCTGTTTCCTTGTACAGTGAGATTTTTTAGTCTCTCTGTCTAGGACTTATATATTCATAGGCTTGTAAATATGAGCACCATTTGGAGGGTCTTTTGATATTCTTTTGCCTATACATATGTAAATAATTTACTATCTTGTAAGTTGTTGCACATGCAAATAGGTACCAATGTTATGTATTTCTAATCAAATTCAGAAATCAAAATGAGAGTAATTTGATTTTAAATATGAAAGAATTATTTTCAGTGTGTTCACAGGAAACTTAATCCATATCCATATGTATGTGTTTGCAGGAAACACATTATGCTTTTCGTAACCTAGTGGTTGTTAATTCATAGGAATTGCTGCATTTCTGCATTACAGAGGTATGTTTTGTAACAGAAGCAGAACTATCTTATACTTGCAACTTCAAAATGTAGGTCATTGTGTTGACGAATGTAGGTCAGAGTGAAGGGGAAGAAGACAGAATGCAAACTCCTCCACATGGATCTTTAAGCTGATCCTTGTTTTGAAGGTAAAGAGGCTTATCTACCTGTTCAAGCACGAGAAGCTTTTCCTTTTACTAAAATTAACACAGGTATTCTGGCTTCTGGCTTCTTGGCTTAGCTGGGTGCTTCCACACTTGAGACGTGTTCATGAAAGACCTCCTGACTCCTGCTTCTTTAGCTGCCAGCTGCTTATATCATTGCAGAGGTGATACTTCCTTCCCTATGGGGGAGGCAGCAGGGAGGAGAGATGTGTGCATTGCTGGCATCTGCCTAAAGAAAAGCATTGTCTTTCCAAAGGTGCTTTACCCTTCTCTCAGCACAGAGCTATCTGATACACCTGCAGTTTCAGCTGGTATCAACATTGTAATGGTAGCAGGGGAAAGAACAGTGACCCCTCATAAAAGATTCAGTGACACCATTCAAAGTACCCTTTCAATAATAAGTGTAGAAAAGTGAGAGATGTTTGACTGAGGGTATTGAAAAGTCAGATGTTGAAGGATTTTGCTGCAGTTGACAAGTATTTTTAAAATTCACTCAGGCTGCTATAAAAGGGTTTCAGATTTTTATGTTTGTGGGTGTGGGGTTTTTTTTAATGTGAGATATAAGTATTGTAAATGGTATTAAATTAGCTGTGTCTTCACTAAATATTAAAAAAGCACTTTTATTGCTTGAGTATACAGCAGTCACTGCAAACTGAAACATTCTTTATATTATACACTAAAGTATTTAAACAGTTATTATATTTATTGCAAAATCTGTCATTTTAGCATATTTCAATGCTCAAAAGCATTGAAATGCTCAAAGGGAGATAGAAAACCCTGTACAATTCTTAGTGTATGTTTCACTAAAGGGTGAGTAGTCTTGTGGGAATATTTTGTTTTCACCCTTAGCAAGCCTAAGCAAAATAGCACATTCACAAACACCTGATCAACCTAAACTGACTTAAACAGGATAAATACCAATATTGGATTTGTGGTTTTTTCATGTATGTGTATTATCACTCTATTTGGTTGTTCTTTAAAATCTTTGTAATACAAAACTTATAGGCAAAGTTTTGGACAAATCTTGTCTAGGCTTTTACTTGATCTGCATGCAGGAAAGATATTAATAAATTTTCATTATTAATCACTATGAGTTCAGAATACTTACTAGATGGAAAGGAAGAATTATATTGATGATGTTTACAATCAGGCTCTAAGTGATTTAAAGGAAGACAGTTTTTCTCACAAACTCTGCTTCTGTTAAAAATGTTGTGATGTTTTTAAAGTCTTGAGTACAAAAAAATTGTTAAAAATTATCTAAAGGATGCACATACATAGTAAGCTGCATGAAATTCAGTTGTCTAGAAATACCTAAAGGATGCTCTACATGTCTGTTTTAAGTTTACTGAAACTGTTGAAATGTCTGTAGTTCATAATATTAAGTTTCTGTCTCATTAATTCATAGTGCCGTGTGTTGGGGGAGGGGGGGGAAGCTGACCCTGGATTTTACCTGTAGACAGACATGTAAATGTGTTTTTTCATTGCTGAGCAATAACAGATGAAAAACACATGCAACCATAATTTGGCTGCATAGGCCTTAGATTTATCCTCCTCTAGCTTTGGGAACCTTTGCAGACCTAACTCAAGTGCCCAAGTACGAGTCTGTTTTCCCAGAGTGCCTCCAGCACTGGAGTCTGGAGCGTGCAGGAGAGCGTGCAAGGCACACAGGATCTGTGCTGCCCTCTCCGTGGGCCACGGCGCTTCAGTTAGATGTTCGTGTCAGGTGGAAAACTGGTCTGATGAAACAGGGAGTTTCCTGAGTGACTAGTTTTGAAGAAGTAAATTTGCATGGGTGCCTAAATACTTGCTAATGATGATGATGACCAGTGAAAGTGTTATGATGGAAGCTTATAAAGTCATGAATAATTCAGATTAGGTGAAAAAAGTGAGATTGCTCCTTCTCTTCCCGTAGGAGAACTAGGGGGATTTAAATGAAAATGACAGGGACGCAAGTACAGAAAAGGAGAGAGGAGGTGTTTCTTTATACAGCACGGTAAAACTGTGGAGCTTCCTGTTGCAGCTATGAAAAGTTTACACAGTCCACAGAACAACTAGAAAAATTCTTCAGTGCCTACTAAACAGAACTTACCACTCATATTTCCTCTTCTCCTCAAGAACTTCTTGAGCTCCAACTAGAAATCACACTGTTTTATTGCCCTAGTCCTGCATTTGTCCTTAGCATGTGCTGCTGGTCAGTGTTCCTTACAGTCAGATTGTTGCCTGACTTAACAAAAACTAAGAGAAAAGGAGCTAAATAAAAATGAACTGGGAAGAAATGGAGTGACTAGCATGATTATATCTATAGCTGACGAAAAAGGAGAGGGCTCCTGTCCCCTGCTGGAAACAGGCTACAAGGCAGGATTGGCCTTGTATCTGGCCTGGTACAAACAGGTTGATGTTCATGTGAATGCCCAAATGAGTTGAATTTTATATGACTTTTAAAGTCTTGAGTATTGCACATTTATGTGTAGATATATGTGTGTTTATGTGTATGTACATGTATCTATAAATTTCTGATAATTAGTTGGGATGAAATCTATGAAATATTCAAATCTAATGCTTAAATCATAGGTCTTCTCTTTTTTTCTTTATTCCATGCTTTTATGGCAGATTTAGAAAATGAAACAGTGGGTAGAAGTCTGCAAATGGTAATATGCATTCAAATATTATTTTAGGCAAAAAAAATTCTGTTCTAAGAAAGCGAATATCTTTGTTTTATAGGTCTCTGGCCATCTGAAGAAGTGCTGGCTTACTACTGCCTAAAACATAATGAAATATTCAGGTACAGAGTTAAACATAAAAAGATATTTTCCAATCTGTTAGTTTTATTGTATCTGCATGGTGAAGATTGCTATGATTTAAGTCTTCAGATTAAATTTAAAATGTTCAAGGTGAAAGCATGTTGCTCTTAACAAAGAATTCTGAGCTGCCTTTGGGTACTAATATTGCACAGCAAGCTTTCTGCTATATGTCAAAGACTTTTGATTTCCACTCAAGGCGTTTTATTTCACTTTGATTTTTGGGAAACAAAAGTGAAGCTCCAATCGATCAGTACTGATTGTGAAGGTCAGGAAAAATAAGATATTCTTTAAACTGACATCTGTTGCAAAAGCAAGCAAAATATTACCTGAGAAAATAAATAATAAGCACTGCATGTAGTAGTGGAGGAATTAGCACCACATATAGTAATGGAGTGTTGTGAAATAGTTTTGAAACATCCTGCACTTCTATTTGGGTTTGGGTTTTTTTTTCACATTTTCTAAACTTTTAGAAGACAGCCATCAGGGCTCCAATAGGAACTTCTAAAAATAAAATCCATCCTGCATCCTCTTTCTGTCCCCTTGGGTATACTGAGATTTGCACTTGGAAATCCTTGAAGTTAATTTTCCAGAGGATGAATGGGGTGCAATGAAAGCCATTATAGCAATGCATTTGGAGGCATAAATTGTGTTCTGAGTGAGGGTGTAAGGCTAATACAAGTAAACCAGCTTGGAGTGTACAAAGTCCCTCAGTTTGTGTACATATGGTATTGATAAAATAAGAAAGACCAAGCTGTAAGTCCCTGCCCCTTGTACCAAATCAGCAAGCATATCAACTTGCTCAAACTCCTATCTGAAATCAAAGACCTGGCACCAAAGTGTGCCCTGATTCTCATTCCTACTCTATCAGCTGAATGAAACCCAGCCCATTAGAGGAGGCAGCTCATACATCTAACCTGGCAGCTGCTGCTCCTTCCTCTCAGTTCTGTTGGGCATTGCACTCTGTGACTTCTGCTGCCATAGTGGTGTCCCTGTAGCACTTTGCTGTCCAACCCCACGCAGTGGCTCCTGTGCTCTGTTTGCTCTCCGAGGCCTCTCACAGCAAACCTCCCTGTGCTGCTTATGCAAAGGGTGTTTTCCTAGCTTGGATATGCAAGCCAGGACACTCGGAGACAGTAATCAGTCAAACTGCCAAGGAGTGAATGGGAAGTTTCACATCCTGATTTCTCAGGATTATGCCCTCTTGACAGTACTCTCAGAGTAGAGTTTCTTATTTTAATTCTCTCTAATAAATGTCACTAAATATTGCCTGAGAGACAGATACAACTGTTAAAATTTACTAATAAGGGAACTTTGCACTAAAATAAATTATTTGTATGCATAAATATTTATGTGTATTTGTGTGCATGTATATGCTTATGTACACAGAAATTTGGTTCAAAATGCACTAGAAACCTCACATTAGATACTTTCTATGTTCATTTCAGTAAGCATGACTCTTATAAAGGATTAAGTGCCTTATAAGTCTAATATATAAAACCATATGTATATACTTTTAATATATAACACACTTGGTTTATGGAAATAGAAACTTATGTGAGAAAAACTTATAATCATTCTATTTAAACCACAAACTGCAAATTTCCCACATCTGTTTTTACATTCTCACTGGGTTTATATACAGCTTGTTCCTCCAACCTATGTCCATCTTTTGTCTCGTTTTGATTAAATAGGACAGCTAGACTTTTTTTCAAATAAAATTTGGGGTCTGAGAAAAATAAATCTATCCCATCCAGACAGTGAGCATTAGTACACAGTCATACAGCCTAGTCTGCTCGCCTCAGTGAACAAAATATCAGCATCTCTATACTGATGTGGCATCCTAGATGCTCTTCCTAAATATCAGCGTCAAGTGAGTAGTGAGGTGATACTTCCAGATAAAAATAGATTTTTGGATGTCAATATTTTGAGGGAGAAGAGGAAGTGCACTAAAAAAATCCCAACCAAACCATTTAGCTGAAATTCCATTTTATGCCTGTCAGAAATGTCTTAATGCGAATGTTTCTGCCAGCTATAAATTGCCACAGGTTTTGCTATAAAGCAGTGTGTTCCTAAACTGAGCTTTGCCTTGCCCCAGACGCTGCTTCACACAGTTTCGGTGTGGGGTCAGCATCGCTCCCTCCTCCCCTCTTGGGGCAGGCCATGGCTCTGGAGGACATTCTTTATGGCTCCCCCTGCAAGCTCCCATCCGGCACACTCTCTGCGCCAAATTATATTTCACATGCACGTCTTAATAACAGCACAGTATGGTCTAAGTTAAAAGCAGCCTTTTAGACCATGTATTCAGCCCTTTGATCGGGCTCAGTTTAGGCTCTTGACACCAACTTCGTTTGGTTTTCTGTGGCTTAACCGTTTGCTGTTCCCATCGTTGTTCATAACAGTATTGTTTGTAGGTCACTTGCAGTTTTAAGTGCTAATTGAAGGATCGGATTTCTTCATGTGTAATTGTTTTGTGGCATACAGCTTTCTTTAAAACTTCTCTTTTTAATATAAAAAGGCTTTTAGGCATAACTATATGGAGAGATATATAAATAATATTAATTTCCCCATTTACTTCTCTAGCTGTTTTTGCAAGAATGAATGTGGATTAACATTGTTATCCTTTCCTAACAATTATCTTTCGCTACTCTAGCTAGTTTAGTTCTAAAAGACAGAGCCATTGACAAGGGAAAAAAGGGAACCTTCTCAGATTTTTCAGCTCAGCGGTGGTAATGTTGCACTGAGCACTAATGAGGGAACCCCCACTGATTTGCCTGCTTTGTGACTTTTCTATTTCATAATTATTTTTAAAACGCAAAACGACATGAGGTAGCCTAGTCATGTCTCTACAACTTCCTGGTAGCTCAGTTCTTACTGCAGATGGCAATTTGTTCTTGTAACATATATGTCTCTCTGACCATTTTCATCTAATTTGTATGGGTTCTACCATTTCCTTTCTCTCTTTCAGGGACCTTGCTGTGTGTGAGCTGGGGGGTGGCATGACATGCTTGGCTGGGCTCATGGTAGGTCTTTTCTCAATTCCAATCCCATTCAGAGGAAGAAACAAAAGGAAAAATGTTCCAGTGCCTCCAACTGCTGGGTCAGAGAACTGTCAACAGCCTCAGCTGCGGTCAAGCTGCAGAGTCTTGAGAGACCTTCTAGATTGACTTGCTTTCGTATCATATTGATTTTATGGTTGCCTCGATGAGCAGAAACATTTTACCTCGGTGTAGTCAATATCTTTTGTTGTGACATTCCAGGCCACGTACGGTCTGTCTTTCATTGCCATAGCCGAAGCTTTTTTTTTTTTCAGATTATAGTCCCATTTGCTAAGATACAGGAATAGCCTGGCGAATCACAGTTGGAGCACCATGATATAGCTGCTAATGTTTTGCCTGCATTATTACACCAACAAACATGATCCAGAGCTCTCGGTAATTAGATTCTTTTGAATTAGATTGGCCATTCAGGAGAGTCGTTCACCATTCTCTGGGTTCTGAGTCATGTATTCAGGAGATATTATGTAGCAGTGCAGTGCATTAGACAAGTTTTTATGTCTCTACAAATAAAAGCATATTGTTACACTGATTGGCATTTGACAAACCTGTCGCTCTTATACAATGTGTCGAGGTTACAGCCCAATGTGCGAGCATGTCAAAGCTCACAAAAAAATTACCCTTACAAAGCCATCTGCCTGCAATGCAAAGTTATATGAAGGGCATCAGGCAGTCAGACAGAAGCAAGCTGAAAGGCAGAGTGACAGCCTTGTATGATGGCTCTACTAGATAAACAGAAGCCCGCAAATGAAAGCCTCTCAGAATACCATCATCGGCTGTCACAATGCAATTACGGAACAGAATGATAGCAAGATAGAGGCTCCCGCAAATGGAATGATAAAAGTATTGACTGATTTGATTGAATGATTAAAATAATGCAGACATAAAATGAAAAAAGATTGAAGATTGTTACAGAGAAATAGGTGAGGAAGCATGATACTGAAGGCTTGTCACTCCTGTCTTCACTTCCACACAGACAAGCATATTTGCTCATTGTTTGCTGTGCTCTTTTTTTCAGGTTGCTATTTCTGCAGATGTCAAAGAAGTTCTGTTAACTGATGGAAATGAAAAGGCCATCAAAAGTATCCTTATTCAGATAGAAAACTGGTTTGTTGTGCTCGTTCCTTTTTACTGGCTGAGTAACAATCGATATAAAGACAGACAGCATGGGGTATATTAAGAAAAGTCCCCCATAAGTAATTAAAAAATAGATGTAGAATATCTTGAACAGAGCTACAGCTTCCCCCATAATAAATGCCACATTTTTGCCTTTAATTAAAAATGCAGGTGTTGGTATAGAGCAAGTACAGTAGTAAATATGTGTCTCGTGGTTGAGTGCTGAAAGACTCGCGTGTATGCTGCACGTTACAGGAGGTGTAGTAGTGAATCAAATCATTAGCTCCCCTTCATGTATCCTTTTTGCAGAGGAGCTAGATTTTTTTCCTCTTTCAAATACTAGCCTCTTAAAACATACCCAACACTTGTATATTGTCACGGTTTTCCCAGTGTATATTGAAATGTTTCATTGTTGCTAAGTTAAAACTGCCTACAAATTATCCATTTAGTTTGCTTAATCAATTATCAATTTATCTTTATTTCTCTTGATGTAAGATTGCAAAACTCCTCTGTCCCTTGTAGAAAGTATTTTATTGTATTTTTTTATAATAGATTAAATTGCTATCATGCCCTTCTAATATGAACATACAGTTCAGAAAATTGAACTGGACTTGGGCTAAGAGATAGAATGAATGAGCATAATTTGTGGCCACATTAAATATCAGCACAGAACAAGAACAGATATATACAGTGAATACTAATAACCCTTAGAAATTGAGAGGGAAAAAAGGAAGATATCTATTTGCTTTTGTTCCTTGATAATCTTTCCATTTACATTTTTAAGGCAGGCTAATTTTTCAGGTTTTGGCCACTGCAGCTTCAGAATTATTTAGATTTGAGTTTTGTATGTATTTGAGAGCTAACATAATGAGCACTTACTGAAAAAAAAAAGTTAAACTAATCCATGGCTTAAATAAATTGCAGTTGCTGATGCCTGTTAAAACAGGAGACATTAGCAGTGCAATAATATTAGCTACTACCTTTTAAAAACACTTTCTCAGAGGTAACTGACTTAACTATAATTGCTTACAACACTTGAACAATTTCATGTTATAAACAGCCAATCCCAGATCATATCTGTTAAAACTTGAAGTAAGCCTGCTAAAAGTCTCCTTTTTCTTGAAAAGGCAAGTTCTCAGCTGTGTTTCAGGGATCCTTACTTTGTTAAATTCTAGCGTGTTAGACTTGTGTCTTAAGGAGGAAGTATTCATTATTCTGTGTATTTTAATCAGCACCACCCTTTCCAATCTTTCTTCCGTGTCATTATGAAGATAAAAAATTTGGCAGCAAAGAATTGTTTCAAAACTAGCCTAACAAAACAAACTAGTGTTGCATAGAAGCATAGGTGTTTAACAAAAGGTCATTTTACTCACAGAAAGCTTCAGGTGGACTCAGTAATCATCAAGTCAGCAAATATCTTGCATAGCAGATTCCATAAAAATACCTGAACTTTTTTGAAATGTAGAAGTCTTTTATAGTAAGGAAAATTGGCAAGTGCCAAAAGTATTCACTCAGTCTTTGGAATTAAATAAAAATGCTTTTATTCATGAAAAAGATACTGTTAAAGTAATCTAATTATCACACCTTAGTTTTTGACAATATGTTTTAGAAATATCTTCTGTTTCCAAAAGTCCTACAAGAAGTCTTCATCTGTATTCACTCAGTGAATCCCTAACAGGGAAGCCATTGGTGAACGGCTCTAACAGGAATTTATTTTTCTTTTTTAACATTTGGTGCTCAGAAGGCTCAGCATTCAAAGTGCTTTTATTGTGTTGGATTTTACAATGGGCTTAATATTAGCAGGGTGCCAAAGTGCAGCAGGCTAAGAACTTTACCATGTATGTGGAATGTATTCTTAAAAGTGCACGTAATAAAATTTATGTTGCATTTTATGTGGTTTATGGATTTCAGTAGTAATTTTATGATCTGTCTTATGGTAATTTTCTTTTGCACTCTTTTGTATAGTGACTCGCTGTAACAGAAGTTTAGACTAAATTTAGATCTGTTTCAGCCACACCAGACTCACTGAAATCAGTAAGAATTTTAGGTGTAATTGGAAATAGCATTTGAGCCCAAGTGCCACTGACTACAAATGACCTATTTCTGCTAATTTTTATTATTGCTGATGGTACTTTTTAATTGTTTAGCATACCCAATTAAGGTAATGTGGGGTAAAATACTGTTTTCTTTCCTAGATTCTGCTCTTCAAGAATAGTTAATGCCTAGTATTATGCTTTTTATGTAGGTATTATAGATTAAAATAATCTTGTTTTAAAATTACTGTTTATATCTTCCCTTTAAATTTCTTAGGAAGCTTAAATTACATGCCAGTCATACTATAATATTCAAAAATTACTTTCCAAAAAGTAAAAGTGGTTGTCAACAAAAAAGAAAAAAAATCCCTGTCAGAAGCCAGGAAATCACCAAGCAAGCCTGCTAATTATTCTTAATGGGCAAGATGAGCACATTAAGAAACAAATGAATACATCAGTGAAATGTAATTGAAAATCGACCTGGCAATAGTGCATTGCATCTGAGAATCTGCCTTTGTATTATCAACATCATCACAATTATTGTTGTTTTTGTTATTGCTATTGCTATTCAGTGAGCATAACTAACAGATTTGCTTTGCAAAATCTCAAGCTTTTTAGGATTTGATTTTTCTTTTAATTTTTGACATGCTTCCTATTGATCTCCATTTCGTACTGCCACGTGAAGGATTCACTATGTATGTTTTCAATATCTGTATTAGGATATATTACTGAAATGTTAGAAGTTAGAACAATTTACAAATTAGTGAATTTCAAATAATTGTTGTCATTTTCACCCTCTCACTGTGAAATATATTGCTATATTTTATATTGATCCATGGTCTTATGTATTATGTTTATGGAGGTTTTTAAAAAGATATTATGATTTGAGGTGCTAATCCCTTTAAAAGACTTCACTCTAACTCACTGGTTTTCCTTATCATGAGGAGGTTTTAATTGATCAAATAGATCATTTATATAGCAAAATCGATAAAATAAAGACAGATGTTACTCCTTTTGCAGCCTTGTTCCAAACTTTATTGTTTGTTTAGTGTGTTTTATCCAAGTTCTTTCAGGATGATTTTAATAAGGAAAGTATTAAAAATAAAAAGATAGACATATCAAGTGAATAATAGAGCAAAGTTATCAGATTCATCCCCATTTGTAATTTTGGGTGATATGCGTTCAGATACAAATTTCTCAACTCAGGTAATATCTGTGACATAAGTCAGTCATCAACATCAAATTCTATTTCCTCAGAACACTGGAAGCATCTTTATTCAGTTTGACATGTCCAGATCCAAGGATGAGGTTCATTTTAGTAAAAATTCTCTCCTATTTCAGAGAGGCTGTGTACCTTCTGCCTTAGCTCTGTTTCACACCATGCACTAGTGACTTGAACTACTGTCTGAAAGCATCGATAATACAAAACATTGTTGCAGTGCACTATAATGGCCATTAAAATAAAGTGTATGGATCTTTCAACAGTCCTGGGAAATTTAGGTTAGAAGGGTCATGTTCAGCCTGAATGCCTGAAGACATGGGCTCATAAATTATTTAAAAAAGCCAGTGTTACCATGTTTATAACCATTATTAAGAGTTTTGCTCAGTTATATAGTTTAAGTGCAGTGTATTAATTTATCAACAATGTTATTTCTGCATCTACTTAAAAACAGCATGCTTTGCTCATGGAGTTACTTATGCCTTCCTATTGCTTCACAGGTATAGACCATTCATTTACTACTTCTCATTACATATTGTGGAAAAGATTTAAAAGGCACATCCAAACTACAGAGATTTGTTTAAACCAGTTTTCTGTCATTTGATTTCTAGTTTTTTGCTTTAGAAAATTCCATTGTTTGGATAGAGGCTTTCCTAAAATAACTTTTCTTAAATGACCAACTCTGTTAGGAAGGCCAATTATGTGATTTCAGCAAAGCAAATAAAAAGATATATCAATGATATTTCAAATTAGCCTGACACTAGTGTTCAGTTTTCTTATAAGAGCACTTTCAAAAAATTTGACATGTTTTGTGGACCGAGAAACACCTTCCTAATTAGCGTCAGATTTCCTGTACCTTAAATAAAAAAGAGGGATCATTGGCAACCTTACCAAAAGTGTCTAAGATAATTTTTTATATTTGAGACTGAATCATTCAAATACATGAGGATTCACCTTGAGTGGCAATTAGTATTGTCATAGTTTTCACTTACTTGATATACTTTTCCTTCCAATGGCTTCTCACTAACCACAAATGATTGATTATGAAGGTTATCTTTCTAGCAACAGATGGTTGGGCTCAGCTTCCCTGGAAACTTTTCTTTGATAGCCTTTGCTTTCACCTGCCTGAATGGCTCCCCAAATTTGTGACCTGATCTTGTAAACTACAAGAAGCTGAGACATGAGGCTGAGGCAGTGTTGTGGCACCTAAGGGGAAGAAAAGGCATTTATTGCTTTGTACTCTTTTATGGTGGTTCCAAAACATTCTCAAGAAAGCAAATGGACTAGAAACTCCTTTGCCTGTAGGTTAAAGTGATCCTGTTGTGTGTTAGAGTCACCCAGACAGAACCAGGAACAAAGATGTGTGTCTTGTGGCAGGGCAGGTACTCAAAACCCATAAGCCTCCAAAATCTCAGCACTGGGATATAGTGATACAGTCAAAAGCAGCACAAACTAAACTGGACATTTAGTAACCATGCTAAAAAAATTCAGTTAACATGGTTTTAATTCTTATATTTGTAAATAGTTGCCTTTAAATATATGTAAGGTATGGAAAGTCTTTTTTCAGTTCCCTCTATAGCTACCGGGCTAGAAATTCCTTAAATGAAACAGTAAATAGAGGTAGGCAATGGAGAGCAAATTGCTGCATAGATATATGGCTGATGTGCTGGAGAAGTTAGCACAGATTAAAGAAGACCAAACAGATGAGAGACATTATGCAGGTATTATCAGTGGAAAAGAATGGGGTTTATTATTTTTATTATTGCTCTAGTTTTGTAGGTAATTCTTAACAATTATGCTGCAGATGTAAATGAGATCATCACAAGAAACCAAAATGCTGGAGTATTTAAGGCTCAGAAAGTGTCAAGCCGGTAAGATTCTACTAAAATTTCTTCTGAAGATTCTGTTAAACTCTTTTACTGATTCTTGCATGTAATTCTGTTTTTAATGTAGATGTGAAATGTATGCAAAAGTGTGAAAGTGTGACCTATGTTACTGATGCTTACACAGATGTATGTATAGTATAAGCAGGTAAGTGGTGCAAGACAGAAATTTAGAAGTATTAAAAAAAAGTTAATTGCTTTTTAACATAGGAAATACAGCATGATTATCTTGGTGACATAACCTCTCTTTATCTTCTTTTAATGTAGACTATGTCTCTTCAACCCATGGTTCAGCGCATGGGTGAAATATGTCTTCTTCAGTCACCACTACCCATTGTACTGAATGTCAGGCTTGGAGTGAATTTACCTAAATCACCGACAGGTTTCATTTTATATAGCTCTGAGAATTCAGGGTTGCAACAAATCCCATTTGCCCTCAGGTAGATGTTGTTGGAGCATCCATGGGAAGTTTTTTGGTCATCCTGTCTGTGCAATCCATATTGAGTTGTCACTGCAAGGACAGATAGGGAGCATGGGAACCGGGCACAGTGTGCTGGGGCCCTTCTCTTATTGACTATGACTTAAGGTGCAGGCTGCACCCAGCATTTTTTTCATAGTGCACCTCCTGTTTTGTCTCTGAGTTAACCCTGATGGCACACTCTGGAGGGTGAGCATTGTAGAGGTGTAAAGATTTTGGTTTAAGATTTTCTCCAGAGCCTTTCATACCCATCCTGTAATAGGTGGTAGCACTGAACTGTTTAACTGTCTGCTTCACTGAGGTATCTCCAGGTACAGTAGGGACTGGAAGTAGCTGAAAAATTGAAGTGTGTTCATTTCTTGCAGTATTTTAAAAGTAAATTGTAAAGTACTTCATATTCCTGGCATAGAGTTAAGAATTAGAAGATGGCTACCTGAGAGTAAATAGTGCACTCTTATTTGTGTGTCTAAATATTTCTTTTTGATGGCTCACATTCCAGAATGACTCTCAGTTCTTCTAAAAGTGACAAAAGTAAAGCTGAAAAAGGGCTGAGAAAAGCAAACTGTTAATGCAGAATAAGCTTACTAACATAGAGGGTTAAACCCATACAGTTTTAATGGCTATCATTCATGTCATTTAACCGTATGCTTATGGAACCAATCTGTGTAGAGAAGTTCTTTTAAGTGAGCACTTAGGGCTAGAAAAATTCTGCCTTCATTAGGGTGTATGGATACATAACTTAGAGATACAACTCTGCATCCTAATAGGAGCCTGCCAAGTAGACAAAGGCCACACAGGCCCCAGGTCTTTCAGGTTCCATGTGTTGAACACCTTTTGTGAGCAGAACTCCTCAGACACTGCTGAGGAGAGGCTGTGTGGTACGTCCATCCAGAAGCTTAGATTCTGTAGATTTCCACTTAGTATGAGATTTCAGATTTCATCCCTTGTCAAGACTTCAAACCTGGTCTTTTAGATATCAATCAAAAGCACATTTTCTACACTGTCCTCATTTACATTTATCTAATGCTTAAGGTCATTTGTGATCATTTGAGTGTATTTCAGCATATGGAATCAGTGAATAATAGATTTCAGCCTCACGCTGTGAAGAAAGATTGTGTTTTTACAAGACATGATGTTGTTTACTGGGTGTTAATAATCACTAATTAATAAACATATCTAGACATCATAAAATGTTGCATTTTAAGGAGGAAAAAATGTAAAGTGTTTACCTTCTTGAGTGCAGTAGCATTTGGGGCCTTATTTGCATAAATAAAATAATTAAATTACAAAATAATGTGAAGTACTATATGAAAACAAGGCTCGTTATAATAAATGCTTGATTTGATTTTTAATTCCACCTTCTTGAGGCTTTTTTAGTTTTGTTATAACAGCATAAAGTTTTATAAAATGAGTATTCAAATGACTGTCTAATGGATTGATCAGTCCTTCAGATTTAGTAATGATGTGTGATGAAGACAGTAACAAAGTTATATGATCCCTTCTCAATGCCTTGAAGAAACTAAAAAGCTGATGTAAAGTCTGAAATATTACTGTAACCTTGATTCACTTTTCCTACAACTGAAAATCTTAGTTACATAATGGTTATGGGGAGAAAAAAAAGGAGAAAAAAACCCCCAAAACGAAACAAAACAAAACAAAAAAAAGAAGAAAATGTAGTGTTTTGTAGGGAAGAATTCAACACTGGTGTGTGAAGTGTCATTCAGTGACTTCTTTTACACTGATCAGATCTTGCAGGGAAGTGAATAAAGTGATCTATGTAAGTGACTTACTGCAACATCAGTTTAATCTGGAGAAAGCATGTTCTTTGCTATAATGTGTCATTTGAACAGTGTCCAGTCTTGCAACTTTGCAGTGTCCAGTGCAAAGTTAAAAGATTTTTTCCGTATAAAGGTAATTCAGAATAGAGCTTTCTCAATGTGTCGTCTTCTTATGTCAGGATTTTTTACTCTTTTCCTTGCACATGGAGGAGAAATTATCAGTATGAGAGTCAGTTTGTGAGCGTTCCAGACATTTTAGTCTACGCTTGGAAAATATTCCAAAATGTGTATGGTGCAAAAAGGAACAATCCAGTATCAGCCAAGAGAAGTTAGATTAGGACAACCTGCCATACACTTGTGTATTTAGATTTATACAAAATGCAGTAAATGAGCACTTATCTAGCACTCTGCCAACTCTTCATTATTGTTTAAAAATACAGTAATAGAAGCCAAACTTATATTTGGCAGTTTGTCATATTATGTGTTATAATGTAATAATAGATACATAGTAAACAGTGGATATACAATTCTATTTTATTTTTACATAAGAGTGTAAGCAAGTACATGTAACATCAAATCAGTAAGAGAAATGCTTGTGGCAATGCATCCTTTGATTTGACTTGTAATAGTGTATGACATAGTCTTTATTCATTCTACAGTCAACTTTATAATCCACATCAAGAATGAATGACCATGTGAACAGAAGGGACAATTCCTGCTCCTTAAAGATTAACAGATAGGTTGTAATCTTCTCCAAGATTTTAGTGTTCCTTACAAATGTAATGAATTTACAAGCTCCCAGAACTAAACCTATTCAGAAAAAATGCTTTTGAAATACTAAATGACATCCAGTATAATAGTGGATGAGGTTTCAGTGACAGAGCACTGAATTTGTCTGATTCTGCTCTTACATTAATGGCCTCTTTCTCTGTGTCTGCCAACATGTGAATATTTTACCTACTGCAATGTTCTTCAAATATACCAAGTTTCTAAGCTTCCAGATTTCAACAGGTCATGTAACAGGTTCCATCAACATGGGACAGCCTTAATGAAGTCTCTTTCTTTGTTTTCGTACATCAAAATGACCTGGGTGTTGCTAAATTCAAACTTTTTAAAAACATATTTATTGAATTTGTTGTGTTTGTCTCCTTAGCAACCCTAAAGAAATCCATTTTGTTCCAACTACTTTTCTCCTCATGTAACACTCTTCCATGACAGCATCTATTGGCAAGGAGGAAAATGCCAAAAGGAACATTTACTGCTCTTTGGTTGGAAAGAAAAAGCTCCTGATTCCTGCTCTCTTAATTTGATCATTTCATGTATGTGTGGAAAGATACAATGAACAGGCTGTCTGCTCATGTCCATTGTGAAGTTGTAACTCTTCATCACTCAGCTCAGGTGGAAACCATTCCGTACCTCTGATCATACTTGCCCTGCTCTATATCTTTTTCAGTTTCAATCTACTCATTTTCAGATGACTGTGATCAGTATTGCATTCAAATTGTGCATAAATAGATATATGTAGTGGAATAATTATGCTTTTTGTTCCCCTTTTAAAAATGCCTAACAGTGATTTGCTTTTTTCACTGCAGTTGAGCACAGCGCTAATAGTTTCATGACACTGTCTGTCACAACATCAGGAGCTTTCCAGTGATGGTCAGTTTGGAGACCTTCATTTTCTATATCAAGTGAGAATTATTTTTTCCGTTGTGCACTTTGCATTTATCCACACTGAATTTCATCTGTCATTTTATTGTCCAATTGCTCAGTTTCATCCTTCTGCAATCCTTCACAGTCTGCTCTTTTCCTCACTGTCTTGAATGGTTTCTTAACATCAGCAAACTTTGCCACCTCAGTGCTCATCTCTTGTAAACATGTTGAATAGAACAGGTCCCAGGGGAACTCTGCTGATTATCTCCCTCCACTGTGAGAATTGACCATTTGCTACTACCCTGTTCCCTGTCTTTTGTTCTATTATTTAGCCATGTCAGGACTCTTGTCCAGTGACAGTCTGCTTTCCTAAAATGTTGTTAGGGAGGGTCCTTGCCAATAGCTTTTTGGAATCAGAAGCAGGCTGTGTTAGCCAGATCACCCTTATCTGAATACTTGTTGACATCTTGGAAGAGCTCAAGGTTTATAAAGCAGGACTTCTTTTACCAAAGACGTATCAGAAAAAGCTTCTGTGGTGAAATGTCTTCAGTTTCTTCTACAGTGAAGTAAATTTTTTGCACTGATGCAAAGAATTAATTTAACCTCTCTGAAATGTTGTGATCCTCTGTGAGTGCTCATTCTTTATCTCAATTATCAGCTGGCAGGAAGATATAGCAAAACAAAAACAAAAGGAAGAGTACACTCATTTTTTACCTGCCATTTTATTATTATAATTAATTTTCCAAGTCTGTGATTCTTTCTTCAGTTGGGTACAACTTCAGCTTTTGGAGGAATGACATCTTGTTTCTAATAACCTTTTTTACTGTTTAGCCATATCAGGTGACTTTCACAAACTTCCAAGCCTCTCCTATTTATGTATTTTACCCAGTTATGGTGACTTAATAAAGGATATTTTAAATTGCATTGTAGCTTTGTCTGTCTTCTTTATGGGGCCAGATGAGAATACATAAAGAGAAAAAACCGAAAAGTTAGCAAACTTTATTAAAAAATTCCTATGTGTTTGGAAAAACAGGGAGAAAAGCTAGGTGTTAGCTGAAAGTATAATGTATTATTTTAAATAA